TGCCCCACCGCCCCCACGGGCTCCTCCCATTGGCCCCCCGCCTGTCCATCATCTACATCCCCCCCCACCCCTCAAGCTAGGCTGAGCTGTGCCTACGTCGGCCTCGACTCCCGGGGGTTGGAGGAGTTACCTTTGGAGCCCGAAAGGAGGAAGGAAGCAAAATATCAACAACAGCAGAGGCGGCTCGGGCGCTCGGCCCCAGTCCCCCGCTTGCCTGCCGTCCGCCTGCCGGCCCCCGCGCCCACAACGGGGGCCCAGGCCCCCCGGCGCCGCCCAGGGCCCGCGCGGACTCCAGTCTCATTTATTATACCCCCCGCCCGAAGCTGCGGCTTCCCGGTGTTGAAGATCCCCGGGACGAGGGGTGAGGGCTACCCGCTCCCAGCCGTGACACCCTTTTTCCCCCAGCGGGGCTGGTGAGTAGAGAAAAATAATGCGCCTGCCACTTTAAGGGTCCCCCTCCCCCACCCGGTCCTGGGGTTGGGGTGGAGGGTGGTCTAAGACCGTCCCCCTGAGGGATGGGATGGGGTAGCCCCCTGGGCTGGGAGGAACTCGCGGAGCGGGCCGTGTTTTCGTGTGGCGCTGGTGGGGGATTACATAGGTGACTGTGTTAGGGAGTCGGCTGTGGGGGACAAGTGGAGTGGGCTGTAATTCCCTTGGCTGAGTACGGGGTGGGGACCGGCGGGTTGGGGGCGCGCCGGCCCGTTTATGTCCAGGGGTTACGATGGCCTCCGAGCGGCCTGGGAAGGGGCGCCATCCTCAGAGGGGTCTCCGGTGACAGCCGGGAACGACTGACATTTTAACAGCCGGTCCTCCCTCCCTGTCCCTCCTCTTGCCGCCTGTTCCCTCCTCCTTGGCCCGAAATGGTGCAGAAGGGGACCTGGGAGAGCGGCGGGAGGGTGGGGGCGGGGGGAGCCGCAGCTGTTTGGGAAGCGGGGGAGGGAGGGGGGATGTTGTTCAGATGACACCGGGGTGGTGGGTTGGGGTGTGTGAGTGAGTGTGTCTCCGGGCCCGGTGTTTGCCGGGTGGCTGTGGAGTTGGGACGCGGAGTCGCCACGGAGGTGGGCATGCAGGACCCTTCCTTGGGATCTCCTAGCCCCGGTTCCGAGACCCCCTGATCTGGTTTGTCAGTAACCCCAGCTGGAGAAACCCCCCCCCAGAAGTTTGCAGCTGTTCAACATCTGGGCAAGAGCTCCCCAGTCACTCCACCTATGGCAGGCTGAACTGGACGGGGAGTGGGGATCTAGGGAGTGTTGGGGGCTTTAGGGAGGGAGGGCCATGCAAACTAAGGTGCATTTAATCTCCCATTCCAATGCCAGCCCCCTTTCTATCAGGTTTGGGTCTTACAGGGATAGGGGAAAGGGGCCCCCTCCCCCTAGTGATTCATGCCAACCTCTCAGCAGCCTTTTGAGGTCTCCCCATGAAAAGAGGGCTCCTGGGTATGGGTACACTTGGAGCCACCGTCTGGGCTATCCCAAGTTCGTCTGGGTGTGAGGCTTTCTCTGCCTCCCCTTATAAGATGCATTGTTGATGGGTTGGGGGAGGGTACGGTGGGTGGGTCCTGTGTCCCCCTTTCCTGTGCCCAGTCCCCCCATTGGAGTTTTCCTCAGAGGGCTGGTTTCTTTGGTTGGGAGGGGGCCCTTATCCACTCCTCCCTCCATCCCCCCAGTGGGTCTCCACAGCAATTCAGGGGTGAGCCTGGACTATGAGAAGTTTGCCGTCTGGGGCGGTGACCTTGGACTGCTCTAGCTTGGAGATAGGAGGGAAGCCCAAGCCAGCATGAGATTGGGTGTTTTGGAGTTAGGGAGCTGTCTATCCCTAACTCCATTACCAACCTCCAACAGGGATGTCTTAGTAGTGGAGGAGAGCATTGAAAAGCACATGTTAGTGTTCGTAGATGTCCACCCTCCCGTGGCCACCAGGTCACACCCGCCCCAGGACTTAGCCTGCCTGTCCCAGCTCCCACGGTCTGCCTGGGAATGAATTTCCTTCCTGCAGTTTCCCAGTGTGTTGGGCAGGAGATGGGGGTGGGGTGGGATCAGTGTGGGAGTGGCTGAGGACCTGTTTATATGGGGTGATCAGGGGACACTGGAGCTTATATGTAGCTCCTTTCCACTTGCCTAAGCACAGACATTTGGGACCTTGGGTCTCAGTGATCATACTCTCTTTGTTGTAACTCCCCTGCCCCCCCAACACACCCCGCATGTGTTTCGTGTGTGTGTGTGTGTGTGTGTATGTATGTACATGCATGTACGTTTGTAAAGGGAGGGGTCTCTGGTTTCTCTGGCAAAGGGAGGAGTTTTCACTCATATTCCTGTAGAGATCAGAGAGGTTGAGCTTTTTACCTGAAATCGCATAGCAAATCTGTGTCAGAGCTTTAGTCCTTTCACTCTTTCAGGCACAGCTTCATAATAGGGAGAGACTTCAGGAAAGAAGACATACAGTCGTTGCTCTTGGAGGCCCTGGTTCAAGGGGAGAAGTAGGACCCAGTCAGAGAGCATCATAACCCTTGTGTTGGGGGATGGGCGTGGGGAGTTGGATTGGAGCTTCTGTCTGCTGTACCCAGTGCCTGAAACAGGGAAGTGGAGGAATTGGAAGGGTGGCAAGTGCTGCCCATTGTCCATCCCACTCTGTGCCTGGTGCCCCTAGGCTGGGGGGCCTGGGCTTCTCATCTCTGCCCCTTTTGGCTTCTGGCTCTTCTCATAGGCTGGGAGATATGATAGTCTTTCTGACTGCTGTTATATAATCTCTCCCCAGCAGAGTTTTTTTTAAATCTTCCCTGGGTCTTTCCTGGGAGGTGTGATGGGAAGAAGAAGGCAGAGGGAGACTCCCCAGGTTGGGGGCTAGAGCAAGGAGCAGCAGCAAGGAGGCTGGTAGGGGGTGCCCTGGCCCTTGAGGGGGACTGGGAAGAGGAAGCCTTGGGGTTAAGCCCTCACTGATTGTGGTCCAGCCCTTCCCACCCTTCTCCTCTGATCCTGCCTTGGGAAGGTCCCTGTGCTGTGGGTGTCCCTGGCTTTTATACCCCCAGAGAGGCCTGGACCTCTGCCCATCCTGTCAACCTTCTCTTCCTGGCCATCTGGGCCCCCTGCCCTCCCTAGTTGGCACTGGGTCTAGACTCTCAGTGCTTAGCCTGCTGTGGACCCTTGTTGGACACTTTTCCACCCACCTGTGTACCTCCATGGGGGCAAGGGGAGTACAGGGACAAATGTTGGGTCCCACATTTCCCTCCTTGTATTTGAGCCAGGCTCCCTGCTTCTCTGCCTTTCTAGTCCGGAGAATGGTGGCCTTACTGAAGAAGAGGAATTGATGGGGTGTGTATAAAACAGGTCTTGACCTCTTGGACACGAGTTGTAGTTGGTGTTCACCCAGGTTCTGTAAGTGGGTATGAGGCTCAGATGTGGACCTAGAACCTATCATCAAGCGTCAGATTCTGGCACTTGTGGCACTGTGGTGGCAGGGTTCTCCACACCCCCTTGGGACCATGGCTGTGACTCTCCAGGCTCTCTGAGGCCAACTGGTTTGAGGCAATTATCTCCCTTTTACAGGGAAGGAGGAGATGGTGGCAGGGCCGGCACAGCCGCAGCATCACTGTAATCGCTGGTGGCTTTTATGAGCCAGTCATGGGGCCGGAGTCTGGCTAACCGTCTGTCCTTCTGTCCTTCTGTCCCAGTTTGGTGACTGACTCATGGAGCGAGAGGATGCTATTAGGTGCTAAGAGCTCTGTTCTAGAAGCTGGATGTATGGCTGTGTTGTGGTTGATGTCGTCCTATCTGTCCATGATTACAGCAGGCAGGATGGAGCTTAGACTTCAGGAAGAACTTCCCAGTAGAGCTAGGTTGTGGAGAGAGAGCTCTAACTTGGCCTGAAAAAGGAGATCTCAGAGCCCTTTCTTCTCCGGTGGCTGTGCAGAAAGGCCTTGACCTTTGGCCTAGTGGGGTTGGTGCTCACATTTGGCTCCTGGAATACTTATTTTCTCTTCTTTCCCCCTTCCTGGGGCTGAAGGTATTCTGAGGAGAGTTTGTCCTGGAGCTGTGGGAGAGCTAGCCTTTGGGCACCTTTCCCTCAGTAGGGGAGGCTGGGCTGGATGGGGGTCTTGTGTAGACTGGCATGCCAAGAAGCACCTGGTAGGTCTGCAGCATCTAGTGGCACACATGTGTGAAGGTCTGCAGCACATATACACTGGTCTGTAGACACCCACAGAGCAGCTGCTGCCCTGTGGGGGTTGGGGGTAGTGAATGACAAAGATGATTAAAGGATTGGAGAGTGGGGATGGGGTGAGGGGACCGGAGGCAAGAAGGCGAAGGGCATGGCAAGAGCTCTGAAGACAGAAGAGTTAACTGGAGCAGGAGGGATTGAGGTTAGACCACAGATGGGCAGACAGAGCTCTGTCTGCAAAATAAAGAGCATGGTTTGTGAGTTGAGGAGTCCTGGCTGACTTCCATCCCTACTTCTTATCCCTTCTCCCCTATCTATCCCTCTCTGTGGTCTTGGCCCAGCGTGCCTCTGCCCCTCATACTGTGTGTGCTTGGGTAAGTCACTCCTCAGATTTCCAGATGTACGGGAGTTTCGCCTTTCGGTGAACAGAACATCTGGGTGTTTTGGTGGTTTGTTACTAGTCTCTGTTGTCCTCCCCACTCACACTGATGAGCAAGGACATTCTGAGGTATGAAGGCTGCATCTGAATCCTCAGGCATTTGGGGGGCAGATCCTTGGCCTCGTTGACCCCCAAGGCCCTCCACTTCTGACTTTCTTTCTCCTGAGGCCAAGGCCACAACTTCCCCTTACTGGGAGCCAAGCCATGCTTCTGGCCAGCCCGGGCTGGTGTGCAGACGGGGATGTGTTCATTGACTCTGCACAAGACCCTGACAATGCGGGGCAGTTGTGCCTGCCATCTCATCTCTCTCCTTTCTGCTGTAGGCCAGGAGGGGAGGGATTTGTCTGAAGCTGTGGCCTGCCACTGGCCACACCCAGGCGGGACCATATTTACTCATTTAAACTTACCCTCCCAGGAGGCTCTGGGCTCTAGGCCTGGTCACTGACCTTGGCTTGGTGCCTTTGGCCACTCCCCTAGAGTTGGGCAGACCAGGAAAGCATGTAGGAGGTTTTTTTGCCCTCTTGGTCAAGGGAGCCTAACCCTCAGGCATTACCCCAATCACCCAATTTTCCAATATACTTTGGAGACCAAAAACTAAAACTATTGAAGTCCCTGGAGGCTGGAGGAAGAAAACATTTATTTGTTGTGTCCCTGTGTGCCAAACTCTATGCTGGGCATGTAATATATGAAGACTACTTATTTCTCTCCAAAACTGTTTTTCACCAGTGGGGAAACTGAGGCTCAGAAATTTAAGTGACCTACTCAAGCTTTCCCAGTTATGAAGTGTTGTTAAGGGATTTTGTCTGAGGTGGAAGGAGGGAT